ACGCAGGTTGTATAAGTCGCACAGACACATTCCACGTATATGATTGTTATAATATATTTAACAGCAACGCGATCGATACTTCGTGCGATACCAAAAGTAAATACGAGATAAAAACCTCAGTTCATTTAACAAACCTTCGTTTTTTACCATCATTAATATTATTAACGGAGATCCGTTTCATTTCATTCGTTCTAGGTAGATTTTATATATTCAGAGGCCGCTCGTTCTTTCAACTGCACCGCTAATGGTTGAAATGAGAATGGGATCGTTTCCATTGAACGACGAAACCCTCGTTATTTTCGATCAATATATATATATATTATTACGATTATTTTAAAAGTGCTCCTTGGCTATAGATTTAAATTCTGGTAAATTACCAGAAACATTAAACCGATTTCAGTTCTCTATGAGGTTGAATGACATTCGTCATATTATGCAACGTTAAAAAAAAAACTTTATCCCCGTATAATCGGTTTGCTCCAGTTTGCCCCTATATTTTTTCCGCCCTTCCTTCCCTCTATCAGGCTGATATTTTTCTTTGGAATTTCTTATGCATCCTTCGCAGTTAGTCAAGATCTTGAAAAACAAAGAGTTTTAAACTCCTGCTTTTGGCTTTGACGAACTGACTGTTAAACGAGATCTCTACGAAGGAAGAAATTCGCTTATTTCCTCTCCTCGCATACTTCCTTCGCCTTTGCATTTTTGTTTGTCTTTCCTTTTCTCTCTTAGGTTCTTCGAGCTTAACCTTTTTGCTCTTTCTATTTCTTTAAAGTTTTGGATTAAAAAATCTTACACCATCCTACAGAGGTTCATCCCCCGAGAAACTCGTGTAACGGCTGTACCGTTAACGAAGCCACTGCTGACTTTGGTCGAATAGCCGAAGCTTTGCCGATATAAGCCGTAAATCGATATACTGCGAACGTTATTATTCAGAGTAATTATGCAACTCCTATACGCCTTTGCTAGCTGATTCAACGGGATTAGATAAATCTTTATGGAATTTCATGTTCGGTTTAATTCCATTTGCATTAAAATATTTCGTTACGGTTGGTCCACGTGTCCGATCTGTCATATTTTGACAGTTCGAAAGCAATGAAATCTCTAGGAAGCGTGGCGACGAATTATTTTTCGGCTCTCAATTCCCTTATCTCAATGATCCATGGAAATTTGTCTTTTTCACTATGTCGCATTTTTTTTTTGTTTTATAAATTTTTTCTTATTACACATCGCAGGTTGATTCCATTGCTCTTCGATAAACTTCGTTCTGCCGTAAACTCAACTCTCTCGTGTTCGAGACAATTCTATCATGTGACCGAGTGCTCCGACGTACGTCATCGGAAGGTCCCTGTAAATAGTCTGAATAGTCTGGTTGTGTAAAGGGCGGCTGGCTGACCATTTTAAATCTTGATCACTGCAACGGCTCGCGTGTCTCACTGACTCTAAGGTCGGTCCGTCCGCAAACTCGACAATACCACTATAATCCAAGAGGCTCCGTCACGCGACAGTCATTCTATATTCTGGTTTTATTTCAGTCCTTTTTTATCCAATTTCACTGGCATGTTTTCGCCTCGCTCTCCTTTGTAATCAAATGTGTCACGGGAAATCTCATTTTACCTGAAACCTCACAAAATAATTACGAGCCATCAGTCGTTAACCATTAACGGGTATATACCTGCATAAAATATCGTTCGCGTGTCATGCGTTCGCCATTGCAAAAAAAAAAAATAAAGTAAAATGCAGAACTCCGAAACCGGATGTACTGGAGATTTGCAAATGTGTATCCGGAATTTAATTTCACGTGTAAATGTCAACTCGATCCGTTCGGCTGACAGTACGGAATGTTTGAATAAATTTGACGTTAGATTTTACGATCTCTGCGCATGCGCACAGCAGAACTGCTTGGACGTCTACAATTCTTACTGCATCAGCCATTCGCCTTTCAACGCGATCAACTTGGCTGGTAAATTCGCTTAGCAACGCACATAAATTCCTTTGTTTTCATGGCGCATTCACGAAACTCCCATGTCTCGCGCAGTGCTGCCTAAAAATATATTCATAGAAATGCCCCCGTCGAGACTATTGCTGACTCCCGTGACTTCCCAAATACGGTATGCGTCACCCTCGTCACCTATCTTGATTTTACGTGTAGGTTGAGAACTTGATAGATTGGATCGAACGAAGGTCAGGAAAAAATATTAATAGTATTAATAATATTTGGAATTACTAAAGGCTCGAGCTGATAGTTTTTGCTTGATTCGGACGATGCGATTGCAATAGGATCGAATGACTGCTCTCTCGAATGAATATAGCAGCGATCAACGTATATATGTATATTTCTGTTACGTGCAACAGAATACTGCAGTCAGTCGCGTGCCGTATTGTTCCAGCGTTATTCGCCATTTGGTGAATTAGCAAAGGAATGAATTTAACGTCAACGTTCAGATAAAACCAACATCGTACTTGGTTATGCTAATACCCAAGGGTCTGGGAATCAGCTGATACAGTGTATTTCAAAGCTGGCAGTTCATTCGACCAAACAAATTTGAAGGTCGAGCCACCGATGTGGTTTAGACGTTACGTTGAGCCAACAACAAAAGTTCAGGCCTCCGCTCGATGTTGTGTCTAGCCCAACCCAACCTAATTCTCTATTACATTGTATTTTTAAACAATTAATTTTCACCGAGAAGATTAGCTCAACTACGCCTGGCATCAAGTGACATTTCGTCGTAACAAGGTCAATCGTATCAGGGCATGCCATGAGTTATACAGTTTTTATCAATATTAGAGAAATACCTGAGAACCACGTTACTTACGGAATTACCTGACAGTCATCGATACGAAACTGATGCGCGATAACAGTACGTATTTGAATCTATGAAAAATGATGTAATTCAATCAACAAAACGCTCGGTCATCTGCATCGAAGTTTCGTCGGTTCAACCAAAAGTTGCGAGTTCAAGGCCAGGTTGGGACGATTTTTTTTTTTTTTTTTTCCACGGTGCGTGTATCTATGCAGTGCACAAAAACGTGATTTCAAAGGTACAACGAAATAGTGGAAGAGAAATGACGTTAGGGCGAAACGCAAAATAAAAATAAATGAAAAACAAGTGATTTTTATTTCATACAGCGGAGACCAAAGAGTATAAGACTTTTTCCATCAGCGATGCTTTCTACGCCGAATAACGAAGCTTTTCGCAGTCGAGAGTCCAATACAATGGAAGCTCAATCGATCGAGCTTGAGATTGAATAAATCGGCTAAACTACCCTATATCCCAGCGTGTAGCTGGAACCGAAGTAGAACGTAGGCAGAAGTGACCACAAGTCCCCTCTATGATTGATCGCGCTTTGCCTTGATACTCGGTTCTAGGTGCCATCGTTAACCCGCATCATAAGTTACATTTACTGGACGGACTAGACCTACTTAGTCGATACATCCTCGACCTTCTCGACGACCAGCTTTCTGTTAGCGCATTGCTCAATTCTTTCCCACTGCTCTGCGATCCGAATATTTCTTTATCGGATGATATTTTACACGATCATTCAAACTTATGGATTCTTCTCGTACGAGGAATAGCAGTGGATATTCACACATTGATATTTCTGCTTTTCGCCGATTCGTTCATTCTCCTACAGGACAGTCATCCGATGCTACATAATATCTCGTCGCAGCTGTGACTTTATTTGTAAAATACTCATGCGAGTTTCATTCTTTTCGATGCTCGGATCTTTGTATATAAAATTCTTGCAGCCTCACTGGTCCATATTAGAAAATTTGACATGCTGCTAAAATTATTACTAAAACCTGAATACATTATTACAATTGGTAATAACGGTAACATAACAAAATATGGTAATTCACCTGCAATTAAGGTAATTAAAATTTAATATAAATCTTTAAAAAAAATTATTGATTAATCAGTCCTATCTTAATGACGGCACTTGTGCAAGATAAATTTTAGCAAATTGATGGTAGAAGACCGATATACATTTTTTTAAAGAAAAAATCAATCTGTGCCCTCGTTAATAAATTACCGTACCTCAATATTCTTGGAGAGTGAAGCATTTTTTTTTTATCAGCCCACGTACGTTATACTTGACGTGTTATTGATTTCTACAAAAATCAATAGGTTAATACTGTTCTTGCGTCAATCATTTAAACTTTATGTCGACCCATTCAACTTTATATCGCTGAGGCCCTTTCATGCTACTTCCAGGAGTTTGATGGCGAGCTGAAGTTTTATGAAGAAAAAAATAAGGATCTGTCAGAAACCTAAGAAAATAGTTGTCCGGGTGCCTGAGGGTTGTGTTATAGTTGCAGAGGGTTGGCTGCCTTGCAGATCAATATACTCCTTACTATGCTGCTGCTGTACTTTGCCAGTGTACCGTGCATCTTCTCTTTAACATTGCACGCCTGCTAAACTTTACGTTGCCTCGCAATGTCAATCTGCAGGGCGTTTCGGATTTGTGATTTCACGAATAAATTTAAAATCAATAACCGCCGGACGGCCGAGCCAGACCTAACGAATATGAGTAATGTCCCGTGTGACATGAGATATCAATATTAATGAGAGACGGAAGCAAAAAATAATTTTGGAAAAATTCCAATATCTGTCACAAGGATTTTTCAGGCGATCCGTATTAGGCTGTCGCGTGAAATTCTGATAAATGGCGAAGTACCCGGTACTTTTTGAAATTGGGTAAAAACGATGCACAAATACTGACTCTGTGTAGTTATCGAATTATCAGTAAACAGTAAACCGTACCGTTTACCGATAAATCAATAGGAGACGGAAGTTGGAGTAATTGCGATCTCTATTTTTAACGATTTGCCAAGTCGCGTGTTATCGTGTATACGAATTTTCAATCTTCACGTAAATTAGTTACTGGTATAAATTTTTTTTTTTTTTTATTATTACCATAAATTATCCTTCGGTTATGAAATTGCCAAACTTTTGGGATGTTTATTAATCATGTATTTTTTTTTTCAATTTTGATTACAGAAACAAACCAAAAACATTTGCATTCGATCACTGCTTCTACTCGTTGGAACCTGGATCGGAAAACTTCGCCAGCCAAGAAGTCGTCTTCAATGCTCTGGGACGTGACATTTTGGACAATGCTTTCCAGGGATACAATGCTTGCATATTCGCTTATGGACAGACCGGTATGTCCGAAGATAATTTTTCCTTCTTTTTTGACAATACTCTATGGCTAAAATCAAAAGGGTGTATGCATACGTCATCTGCGTGGATAAGAAGTAATAACGTATGAAATCGTTAGGGCGCATTTGTTGAGCAACGTAAGGGCAGATGCGTATGTTGGTATAATTGAAAATTATATATTGCCAGTACTAAAGAGACGTGTACGGAACTCGAAAAAAGGAATTTTTATCTTTGTAGTTGTTTTTTTAAATTTTTTTTGGGCGCTCGCTCGTTTGACACGAGACCAAGTTTTTTGGTCCAGGCTACAGGTTGGATTACAGTCATGCGATATCTTGCCCGATTCTTATAATCTTTTTTTACTTTCGATCTGGCAACACTGCTGGAAAAACTCAGTGAAGTGTCAGGGAGTTATTTGAATTATTATTTTATCTATATGACTTGATGACACTTTGTAAGAATGTTCAGAAATTATTTCAACTTTTTCTTAGCAATTACTGTTTTCTTTTTTTTTTTTCTTTTTGACATGGTATCAATATTTTTCCGTAATATGATCGACAGAAATGATTATTTTTATTATTATTGCTACTTCATTTCCTGTCATCCTTAAAGGTTGCTTACTTAATACCAATTTGTCAGGTTATGTTTGCTCACCTGGTCTACGAGTAAATATACGAATACGTAAGCCGAACCCTACGCTGTCTCATCCATTATAATAATTATCTCATCTAACAAACTTATCCGCATCACGTGGATCGTGACTAAGTACCTTCTCAAATTCACGTGACAATGAATCTTTAGGATTCGCCTTTAAACTTCATGAAATATCATATCGACTGATCAGTGCAATTTTTATACTAATAGAAAACAGACATTTATGAAAATCCTTAAATTAGTATTATTCACTGTAAAGGATTTCTTTTTCTTAATAAAATCAGCCATTTTCCAGCCTGTCAAGTAATCACGTTAGGTGCGCTCGGCTGTAGACGTTTCCAAGAATGTTGTAGGAATTCGAGAGCCGTACGCTCAAGTCGAAGAAATCGGGTCCGAGAGACCCACCGGTGCACGGCAAGTGTTAAATGTCAACTGCCCCATAAGCCAGAGCATATTGAGATTTAGCGGAAGACTTGCACTTGCAGCGCTTCCTAAGGAAAGCAACTACCGCCCTTGAATAATAATATTGCGAACGTCTTCTTCAGGCTCGGGGAAGTCTTACACGATGATGGGCAGTGGCGACAATAAAGGCATTATTCCTCGACTTTGCGACAACCTCTTCGACCTGATTGCGAAGCAGCAAAGCTTCGAACTCACCTACAAGGTCGAGGTCTCTTACATGGAAATCTACAACGAGAAGGTCCACGACCTCCTTGATCCTAAGCAGAACAAGCAATCGCTCAAGGTCAGGGAGCACAATGTCCTGGGACCTTACGTCGATGGCCTTAGTCAGCTCGCGGTTACATCCTTTCAGGTAAATTACGTCATCGCTCCTGACCTTAATGTTCCCTGATTATCTTTGTTCTTTGTTCATGCATCAATTTTTTTCTTAGCCCGCATATCGTGCCTACGTTTTCATATTGTCCTTTGTTCTTTGCGTGGGATTTCAAAAATCGTCACAAAAACAAACTGCTTCATTCGTCCTCTTGCTACATCCTTGTGAATTCAATTAGATACTTTATTGCGTCGCAAATATTTATTTTGTCTGATTAATTTTTGGAAAATAATATAAAAAAATCTTTTTTTTATTCCCCACTATTAGCTTACTATGGGCGACGTATCGTTGTAGATTTTAGGGCCAGGCTCGATCCAAGTTCCCCATCGTCCTACTTGATAAATTAATTTGACAATTTTTTTGTAATTGAAAATTATAATTCTTATAGCGTTCATCCTCTTATAGTCCGGACTATTTATGCTTTCGTCATGAATACTATCTTGGCTGCGATTAAATTATTCTGTTAAAAGTTAAGTACTCGCAATGTAAACAGGGAATCTTGGTATTCTCGGAAGATTTTTTTCGCCGAGTTTCATATAACGCGTGAGACAGTTGAATTGATAATTATAATCACTGACGTTAATTGCTATTTGCTATGCGTAGATATTACGGTTTCGTGCACGACGTGTAACGTTTACTGTAGAGGCGACTGCAAATTTGTGTATTTTTTTTTTTTTTTTTTTTTTTTTTTTAAAAATTTTTTTCTTT